GATTAAGTCAAGTATAGCACTAAGTCTTTTTCATAAGCTTTTCCACTTGTCCCTCACTTTAGCATGAGAAGGTGTGGGAGTATACTTTTATTATTCCCATTTAATAAGTGAGCTCACTGAAGCTCAGAGAACTGGCATGTGGTGAAGGTTAGACCTCTTGAGTAGGTACCAGAGCTGGGGGGGGTTACATAAATTTTCCTGATGTTTAGTTCCACATTTTTCAATATTACAAAATTTTAGGATGGAAAGAGAGCCTGGGTGGAGAGAAGGAAGAGAAAGGGAGAAGGGTAAAGCAACAGGGAAAATAACTAGATAAAGAGAATGAGTCCACACATCCCTGAGACCAAGGAAAAGGAAGATGCTCTTGGAGGCTGAGCGAGCACTTGGAGATCCTGTGCAGGCAGGAGGCGGGTGAGGTCATCAGACCCATCTGCGCAGATGGGGACCCTCTGGGGAAAGTTATAAGCAAATGGCATGATGCAACGAGGTGAAATCGCCTTGCTTTAGATCAGGCTGGGACTCCAGCAGGGACTGTTCTGTGCTCTTTGGAAAGATGGATCATGTGCTGGATGGGAAGGCACTGGCTCTGCTGGGCTCTTCCTATCAGCTTGCAGAAAGGCAAATGAGCCCAAGGTCACTGAGCAAAGCAGGACGGATGGGAACACAAGCACAAATCCCCCCCCACACACACACTTTTTTTTTTACTGTTAGTCTGCAAATGTTTGTTCAAAACTTGCATGTGAGATAAGGATTTCTAGCTCCATAGAAGGTGATCTAAGATTTCTTTTTCTTTTCTTTTCTTTCTTTTTTCTTTTTTCTTTTTTTTTTTTTTTTTTTTTTTTGCGGAACCGAGGATTGACCTCAGGCCACTGCGCTTGCCAGGCAAGTGCTTATTCCACTGAGCCAGCTCCCCGGCCCCGGTCTAAGATTTCTTGAGGCATGCTTTTATTACTATTATTATCATTATTATTATTACTATTATTCTCTCCTCAAACTTAGGCCACCAATATGTGCAGTTATGTCTTCTTAAAGAGACACTTTCACATCTTTTTTTTTTTTTTTAATGTATTTGGAACAGGGTCTCACTACTTGCTCAGACTCATAGTGATCCTCGTGTTTTCAGCCTCCACAGTATGGGGATTACAGGGGTGCACCACCATGCCCAGACTCTGGCCAACTCAGCCCACCCTGGGGCGGGGCCACCATGGCATGTGGTGCCAGGGATTGAACCCAGTCCCTGCACTTGCCTAAGCAGGTGCTTAGTCCACTGAGCTATATCACCCACCCTTCACTTTTACATCTTTTGTTTCACTTAATCCACACAGTAGTCCTACATGTTAAAAGTTCCATGGTACAATTAGGAAGTACAATTACTTGCTGAAATATTAATTTTTCCTGTATGATTTTATGAAGGCTTTATATATTTCAATATAAGGCATTTTACTATACCAGTTCTATACATAGGAACCTGAGGCTCAGAAAGAAGTAGTGTTTCTTACTTTGAGTATGAGATGTATCACTTATCACTTTGGGCAAATACCTGTCTGCCCTTGCTCAGACTCAATTTCCTCATCATTAAAAGGGAGATTCCTGTGCAACCTTTCTTAAAGAGTTGTAAAAAGACTTTTCTTGTCAGATATGTATGCAGCATGGTGCCAGATTCATAGCAAGTGTTTCTCCACAGGGAAATTGCTTTGATAATGACTGTGGTGCTATTGCTAAAAGTTACTACTGTGGTAGAAAGAAGAACCATGTCCTGAACTTGAGTCTTCAACTCCTCAAAATTGAGTGACTGTCCCCTCTGCCTTTATTGCCTCTCTAACAATCATTGCTTTTAGATAAAGCACGAAATTCACTCTTTTTATTGTTCCTTCTCCAGGTCACCCCTTTCCCTATGTCTTGTGACCTCCAAGGTGACTGTGCTTGTCGGGACCCTGAGGCCCAAGAACACAGCCGGAAAGACCTCCGGGGATACAGCCATGGATAAAGGAGGACAAGGAGTTGTCAAAGAATTCCCAACACCAGGACCCACACCCCTTTGGTATTGATTTCACAGTCTGCTGCTCAATGGAATGGCTCTCCACACCAGGGATCCTTAGCACCCAACCGGTCTGCCTTTAATTTCACCCAGGAAGGACTCACAGTAGAGAGAATGAACCAAATCTCCAGATGTTGGATGATGGAATGGAATTCCATCCCAAAGTCTGAGATGGATTGCGTAGACAGCATGCAGTCCTGGAGCCTCCTTAAACTCTAATCATTTGTCACACAACACAACCAGAGCAAAAACACGCTCTTCAGAGTATGCACATCTGTGGTTAGTACACATGCATGCATACACTTCCATATGAAAACATCTGTGTGAGGGCAGTTCTGGAGACAGAGTAGAGAGAGACTGGAACAAACGCAATCTCTCCTTTCCCAAGTGCATAGCCAATGCTATCTTTGGAAGGAAGAGTTATAGAAACTGCTAAGACCATGTATTGAGATACCGAGATTGCTCATAGCCTGAGGCTCAGAACACATAGACCATGCACTATGGTGTAGTCCTTTGGGACTGGAAGTGAAATGGTCTGTGGTCACCAACCTTCAAGGGGATTAGGGCCCAGGAAGAGCTAAAGATTCCAAGGTGTGCAAAGGCCCCCAGTTCTCCTGCTGCCATAGGGATTCTACCTCAGCCCCAGGGCTCGAGGTGAAGCTGGTTATGGCTCATGACTACAAAGTTAAGGTATTATTCCAGCCCCTTACTTGAGGCTTGAGGTCATAATATTCCTCTAGATCCCACCCATTCCCCAGATCTTGCCTTGGGACCACATTTGCTGCTACTTTTCCTGCTGCTCTATCTTATACACTAAGTACCCCAAGATGACAGAACTAAGGTAGGAAAAACCCCACACAACCAAATGGTCTGCCTTAAAAGTGACCCACATTTTTCAACAGTTCCTCACTTCTGAGCCCTTCTGCAAGAGTAAATCCCTCATGAGCCCATGTGATGGGAAATAAAGTCTCCCATGAGTGGATTTCTTATCTTGGAAGGGATGTAAGGGATCTCAAATGCTGGAACCTTTCCTCAGAGTCCAGGGTGTCTAATCCAGTGTTAGATTTCATAACCAAGTGGAATAGTGTTAGACTTCTGGGATGTTGGAGCCATCCAGAGGCTACTGGCATTGTCTGGACTCTTAGGTTCTTATCCTTCTTATAGTCTTCTTAGTGCTCCAGGCTAGAGGAGGCTTTGGATCTGAGAACCTCATTGTTGCTGTGCATAGACATAATTCTGGAATAGAGAATCATCTTGAAGGTCATGAATGTAGACTGTGCTCTTGAGGGCCATCAGAGGAACCCCTGAGATTTCACAGACCTGGTATCCAACATGGCCACAACATGTTGCACATCATTTTTCTGCTACCAGTCCTCCTTTAACACCTAGGACTGGACAACTCCCTCCTTGTCTCCCATGTTCAGCCTTCAAAAGTTAAAGGAGATTAGCCAACTGCACATAGAAGCCCCCGCCATTTTGCATATTTCCAGGAAGGAGCCTGCTCCCTTTGAGTTAATATGGAAAGAGATTAATATAGGATGAGGTGGAGATGTTTAAACCTGATCTATTTTCTGAAACCTGGAGCTAGGAGGTAAAGACATGGGAGACTCTAAACTAATTATGTCATATAAAGATTACTGTAAATTTAGTGAGCTGAAGTCCAGTGAAGACAACCAACAAAAGCAAAGTCTAGAACAAAGTGGAAAATTCCAGGCACAGGCACAGCCCCTCCTAATTCCTGTATCCAAAGCAGGCACTGTTAATCCATCATGGCTCTTTTTCCTACTGGGACCAAAATATAACTTCAGAAACTCTGATTCTATCATTCCCAACAGTAATTAGCTGCTGATCAAGAACATTTGAACAGGCATCTACAGGACATCTGTGGTCTATCATATTAAGAAACACATAAAGGTGCTTTCGCACAGGTGCCCAGCTATAAGGACGCAGTGCTTAGTGCTTAGTTTACATGGTTTTCCTCCTGTTACGAACTCTGAGATTGAGTTCCAGAATGGAGAAGCTGCTGCTGTTGTGAAGGCCAGGTTCATACCCTTTATGTCCTCTTATAAGACCACATCGCATTTCTACATAGGGCATTGATTTCTATAATCACCAAGGTCAACCCTAAGAAAGACAAAAATATCACTAGGAAGATTGACCCTATCTTGTGCCCATCTCTAGGGCCTTAGAGCTCTTGTCAACTCTTAGGACCCAACTTCTGTCTTAGCCAAGTTTTTGTAGTGTAGCTCCTAGTGATCATTCAGAAGGTACAAGTTGAGGGCTAAAAGAGGGTCAGCTCTCCAGGTGACTCAGTTATGCCCATACATAATACAAAGAACTCAGAAGACCCCAGGATGACATAACTCATGTCAAGATTGTCAGAAACTACAGAAAATCCTTTCCAGCTTCCTATGAACCAATCCTCATCTAGCTTCTATGTTAACTACCAACGTTAAACATCACTAGACTTTTTAGATGAGCAAAGGTTCCCAGAGGCTGATTTCCATGTCTAGGTTCACAGTTTGGATTGAGCCCTTCTAAGTAAAGACCCACCCAGCCTCCTTCTTACAATCATCCAAACCTGTCACTGACAAAGTAAGGTTTGCTGAGGATATTACATAGGCAAAAAGGCCACTTAACTGGGGGCCAGCCTTCTTGCAAAAGGGTCAGCTCCATTCATGCAGTGCACTGATTCCCAGCTCCACATCACTTGAGTCATCTATTTAGGATAAGAGTACTCACAAGGAGGCTGCTCTGAGGCACTGTTGTATTCTGGCAGCTCAGGGAGCCTAGAACAATTGGGAGTTCTGCATCTGAAGAAGCACTATCCCTTCAGCTCCACAAAAAGAAAAGATGAAATGACATGTCTGTAAGCTTCATCCTGGGAAGGCTTTCCAAGCCACAATTTTAACAGCCTGCTCAGAGCACTTGCATTACACCCAGATTCTGTGCCAAAGGCCTTGTAAGGGAATACTGGACTGGAGAAATCAGTTTGAGTAGGTGAATTGGGGTGTAAAGGAAGGGAGAGATTAACGGCCATCAACAGCAGGCCTTTGGAGACAGAGGGTATCAGCTGCTACACTTGGCTTCCACACGTTGAGTCACTGCCTAGACAGTTCTCTTGGTCATAGGCCCACCTTGGCCGATGCTTAAATGCTATTTGTTGAAAGTAATTATTTGAGACAGATTTCAGCTACCTCCCTTCCAGGTTTGATTTAACTTGGTTGTAACTGTCAAATTCTTCTAGGTCTTACCTGTGTTTAAAAAAAAAAAAAAACTAAAAGAAAGACAGAAGAAAGGAAAAAAGAAAGAGAGAAAAGAAAAGCAGGAAAAAAAGAAAAAAAAGAAATCATAAAGTCAAGCTGACAGTTTTGAGGTTTTATGAGTTGTTTATTTTTTCTGGAGTTGCTTCAAATGAGAAAATTAATAGAAGAAATTGATGGTGGCAAAATTGTACAGATAGAAATTAATAGAAGATAATAAGATAAAAGGAAATTAAAATGCATGATGAAAACTAAGAATAAAAACCCTATTTTTATGTTTCCTAAAGGAAATGGTTTATTCTACAGACTGAGTAGGTAGATACAACATAAATATTTCCCTGGAAAACATAGAGTGGGATTTTATGATGCTGCCTGTTACTTTCTGTGCATTGTGGTGAGTCCAGGAAAGATGACATCTCCCTCCCTAATTTGTTGTTGCAGGGGGTATATTTTGTTCATTTGTTTGGTGGTAATCAGTGACATTAGAGTAGGGAGGCTGGATAATTGGGTTTACCAATGTTAAGGGGACATATTATATCGTACTTTTTAAGTTGTAAGATGTTTATATTTGCTTATCTAGCACTGGGCTTTATAAAGACTGCACTCAAACCACACTGCACAGTCCAACTTTCTAAAAAGCTGCTACCTGAGCAGACAGGTAATTCTAGTGTGTTTTGAGACAAAGTTAACCAACAAAAATTAAAGAAAAATACCCTAAGAAGCAAATGAATAAAATGCCTATTTATGTAATTTTTTTTCAGGTTTTTCCAGATTCCTAGCATTTGTTTTTTCTTTTTAAGAGTAATGTATAGTAGCTAAGAAAGGAATTACAGTCTTAGCACAAAGAACCTAGAATTCTGGATTCCAGGCAGTGGTTCAGTGATCTTGAAGAAGTCATCAGATCGCCTCTACATTTGCCTCCATTTCTCTAGTTGCAAAATGGGGATCAAACTACTTACCTACCTCACAGGGGGAGGACAGAGGATTGTGAGGCCTCGAGGTTTTAAAGGGCTGTGGCATTCATGAGAATCAAGGCTTAACATGAAGTCTGCAGGCTACTTTCCAAGAACTCATTGGCCTTTTGAGAAAGATGGGAGTACTTGTCTGACATTTCAAGGCATACAGCTGGAACTCCTGGGTCAAAGTCCACCTCAAGAGTGTGGATTGAGTGATACTGAACTTCTTGGGCACATTTTAGATTTTTCTCTTATTCTGGCCTTTACCAGTTCAATGATTTGATTGAAAGCCACTTACTTCCTGCAGTGTAAAAATCAGTTGACTGTTGTTGATTCAAGACTTCCAGGCCATTTCTAACTTACAGAGGAAAGGGGTCAGTAACAGCTCTTTTTCAGTAGACTCCTCCCTCCTCAGACTTAAATATCCACATCGAGTGTTCCATTAAAGAAGATACGGCATTCTGAGTAGAAATATCATGGGGCTTCTTCAACTACACACCAGCAGTCAGTGAGGAGAATTTTGAACAGTTATTGAGTTGCTTTCTTGGGTCTCTATTATCAATAACCTGTCTGCAGATATCTATCTATATAAAGATATTATATATAAATATAAATTTACATATATATGCACATGTATATATAGTTGTACATATATGTGTGTATATATATACTTAAATGTAATATTTACAAAATAAAACTGTGATCTCGTCTAGAGAAAATGTATTCATATTACAAACTGCTCTTCCATATTTATGTATCATATTATACCTTTTTATTATTGTTATAATTATTATGGGTATTTCTAATTATTATGATGTTGAAATCTGTTTGGCACCTTCTGGAACCTACCAAAAAATGACTATCTATTGAAGTGCTTAAAATTGGTTCTCATGAGAATTCTGCTTGCCTACTGTAAAAAAAAAAAGGAAAATAACCTAAAAACCAAAAACTAAACAGAGTTCCAATCCTTTCTTCTGTACCTCACGCGCATAAATTTGCTGCTCCTATTTTGGGTTTTATTTTTCTGTTTATGTGTTTTTATGGATCTAAGTTAAATCTTTCAGCAATATATAAAAAAATGTAAATAGTAAACTTTATTTATTAAGAATGTCATCTTTTTTAATTTATATTTACACAATTGTTCATCTAATTTATTTTTTCTATACGGTTTAAAATACTCAGACACATTTTGCTGTTCATGACATTTTTTATCTCGTTCTCGTGGATTTGTTTTTCCATTCTGTTCTCTCTGGTCTCAATTACAGGTTGGATCTCACAAAAAATTGTCAAAGACAGAAATATTTTGCCACTGTTGATTACTATACCTTAAAGTTCTATATTATGAAAATATATTATAGCTTGTCTGCTTCCAAGTGTTGTTGTGTGGTTTCTGGTTTTTTGGGTTTTTTTGTGGCATTATAAACGTGAATGAGAAGCCTAAGATCTAGAACTGGAAAATCAATTGTAGCAAAAAATTCAATCTGATGTGTACCCAGTCCACCACATGATTCAGGAAAATTATTTACATTTTGTATATGCAAAAACTGAGAAACACTTTTACATGTATATATGTGTTGAGTCAACACACTATAGTTTATAAATGTAGAATGGTTATCTAAAACAAAATTGTATCTAAAACAAAATTTAAAAAGAAAAAGTTGCTGTGATGTGTCCAAGCAAATTGGTTTTGGTGGTGCATGAAAGCTTTAAAGTCAGTCACATAAACTGTTAGATTGAAGCACATGTACCTTCTGGGGTCTGTAGATGAGAAAACATATTGTCAAATATTGACAGTTTTCTGTCATTCAACCTTACCTACCAGAGTAAATTCTCAATAAACTACTAGCAGTAAGTGTCTATAAAAACAGACAAACAACAACAAAAAATCAAAGTTTTTCTTTGGAGGGATAAAAATATTGTTTCCAGTTCTGTCTTACCTTTGCACTCTCTCTTCAATAGTACATAATATTGTTTATTTTCACTTTTAAAAAACATTGAGAACTTAGCCTCATAATTTGTCAAATGAGCCTCCAGTGAATTTTTTTTTAATTTGGTACAAGGTCTCACTATGCAGCTCAGACTCATAGTGATCCTTCTGTTTTCAGCCTCCCCAGTGTCCAGCAAAAATTTAAAAGTAGCTTTCTCTCTGTCTAGTATCTCATTTCCTATGTTAATACTACTTAGTAGCTCTGTAATCTCTGGAAGATTACCAAATTGCTTTAAGATTTGTTTTACTGCCTGTGAAATGGAAATAAGGACAGTACACATTTCATAAGGCTTCTCCCAGAATTAAAAAAGGTAAACCCTCACAGTGGCAAGAACAGTGCTAGGCACAGATTGAAATAGGTCTCATTATGAAAATTATGAGATCAAAGCTAATCATAGCAGCCACTGATGATAAACTAATTTTATTGACTTTTTAATAGAATAAAATGGCAATGCCGTAAAACACTGAAGTACTCACACAGTGATTTCTCTACAGTAAATTACTGGTGTTGCGTACAGCTCTGTTGACGTGTAGTTCTTCCCGAAGGCAAGAAATATCTTTCCATATGATGATGCGTGAAATTCTGAACTCTGTGCAAAAAAAAGCAGTCTAGGAGCATCAGTGTGATTTGTATATATAAAGGCAAGGTTCAGGAAAGTAAAGAATGTTCCACATAGGGTTTTTCAGTGTTTAAAAACCATGACCCACTAAAAGATGAAAAAAGCTACAAATGTATGTTCATTGCTACATTCCTCCAGATAACTGTTTTTAGAGTAAGATATGCAATTCAAAAGTATTTTACAGAGTTATATTGGGTTCACCACAAAGAGTGACACAAAATTTATAGAAAAGGCTCATGAAAAGAGGCTATTTCACAAGTAGAAAGATTAAGACAGAGTATTGATAGGCTCTTTGTTCTCCCCTCTGCAAATACAGAAAGCCATGGGGTAGAGTTTTCACTTAGAAGATAATAGTTACAAGATCTTCTCTCCTCTTTCCCCAAAACAGAGAGAGAGAGAGAGAGAGAGAGAGAGAGAGAGAGAGAGAGAGAGAGAGAAGAGAGAAGAGAGAAGAGAGAGAGTTAACTGGGCTTAGGTCCTGAATCCATCTCCTGTAAAAAGAATCCTTTCTCAGTTAAAAAAAAAAATCAGCATTTAGATCTATTTGTAGTTATCATCCAAGTTTTTGAAGTTCTCTAACCAAGAAAGTCCTATTAATTTTTAAAATGTAGAGTGAGGAGCACCCTACATGTCCTGCCAACACTGTTAAGTTTTCCAGTTCTTAACTTTGAGTGCTGACAAACAGCATCTAAAGTGCAGCATCTTCAGCCTTCCACCCATGGAGCTTTGCTTGTTTCGAGAAAATATTTAAAACTCTAGGGCTGGTGAGATGGCTCAGTGGTCTAAAGCACCTACTTAGAACAAGCTTAGCAAAGCATAGGGACGGCGGTTCAATCCCCCAGCACCACATGCCAGCCAGCCCCGCCCCCTGGAGGGCTGAGACACACACACACACACACACACACACACACACACACACACACAAATAAAATAAAATAAAAATTTTTAAAAAAATAAATAAAACTCTAAAAGAATGAACTTAGAGATGAAACCAATTATGCTGTCCAGAGGCATGAATTAGCAGTTGGAGGGAAGAAAGCCCAAGTACCTGTTTCTCTTAAACAGGTCACTGACCTTCATTAAGACAGAGTTGGCAAGGAAAAAACACTAGGTGATGTGTTTAAGCAAGAGGACTAGCAGGTGCCTCATCCTACCAAAGAAATGAAAGGGCACACTCGAGGAACTGAAGAAAGAAGACCAGTGGATTTAGACAGCAGAGAAGTTAACTAGGGTCAAGGCAGAAGACGGAGAGGTTACCAAAGCCCTGGGAAGGATTTCTGGTTCTACCCTAAGAGCAAACCAGAGCCAGTGACTGCTGCATAGAGATTCACTTGACCATCAGACACACTATAAAAGGAAGGATGGATGCCATGAAGAGCAAGCAGGTGCATCTTCAGAGACAAGAGGCCCTTGTGTAATCTAGGAGGAACACGCCTACTGTTTCGAGGAAGGCTATGGTAGGGGGTGAGCAGAAGTTTTCTTTCACTACTAGTTCAAGTGAATGAAATGATCTTTAGAATCTCTAACGTTCTGCAATTCTCGAAACTCATGGTACCCCACTTTCTTTTTTTTTTTTTTTTTAAATGTATCAGGTATTTAATTAGGTTCTTAGTAAGAAATTTAGAACACTAATTTATGAGGGTAAATTCCATTTGTCAGAGCAAAAACGGATCGCAG